TTTAACCAAAAAATAATTGTGAGATTGAAGTTTTAATATGCCTACATGAGTTACCTGCTAGTACTAAAGACTAAAGAAAAGATAAGATGATTAGTTTGATAAGTTTTAAAGTGTTTTTCTCCTGTGTTTTTAATAATTTGAATTTATGATTTTCCTAATATGAATGCTTATTTACATGATGTATGCTACAAATATTGAATATTCTGAGAAGAGGGGAGGGAGAGAGTGGAGGAGAGGGGGGAGATGTGAGATAAATGAAAGTATTTTGTAGAGATATAACTAAAGGAATGATACATAATCGAGACTTTGTACTTCTTTTCCTTTACAGATATGTTTACCATAGAAAGTGGGCTTGTCAACTGAGCACACTAAATAAAATAGAAGGAAGCAAGAGAGACAGACGGTGCTCTGTCACAATTGATGTGTTGATCAAGAAAGTCACAAAGGGTACTAAAAAAAATGACGAGTTCTTTAAGAGAAAAGTTCCACTTGCAACAATAATATCAATATCAGGAAAGCACAGCCACCAACTGGACAATTTTCGATCAATGGGATACCTGCGTATACACCCTGATGTAAAGGAGGAGTACTTCGAGTACTTTAATAATGGACATGGACCAGGGGATGCACGCCAGGTTCATGAAGATAAAATATTGTTGGAAGATGATGGAGAAATCAAACTGAGCAATGGATCACTCAACCCTAATATAAGATCAGTACATTACCTGCATAATCAGTGGCTTCTCTCAAATTATGGACTTGCCTGGTCTTCGAAAGAACCTCTAGATAAGATGAAGGAAAAGGTGGAGGCCTACAATGCTGAAGGTGATAATTACTCAAGTAAACAATTACCAAAAATATTGTAACTTGCCATAATGTGATAATTGGTGTAATACTGATTTTTGATACTTCCTGTTTTAGGTGTGGAAGTGCATATTGATGATGCAGATAGATCCAGATGGTGCATCCTGATTGTGACACCAATTATGAAACGAGCCCACTCACTTCCTGAAGCGAGTGAAATCATCTTCACAGATTCAACTGGCAGCGTTGATGCTGAACACAGCATACTAACGTTGGTGCTGACTGCATCAAAAGGAGGAGCAGTTCCTCTGTGTGCATTAGTCCACAACCGTGGTGATACTGTGGGCTATATCCAAGCCTATGGCATGTTGGCTTCAAAATACCCAAACTGCTTTGGAAACAAGAAGGTATAATACAAAGTACAGATGTAAATAAAAAATATCAGTAATTAGTTAACACAATGTACTTACTTGCTTTCCAGCATCCTGAGGTCTTCATGACCGATGATAGTAAAATGGAGAAGGATGCTTTGGCAGCTATCTGGCCTGATGCCCTACAGTACCTCTGTCACTTCCACGTAGGCCAGGCTGAGTGGAGGTGGCTGTGTGAAACAAAAAATGGTGTCAAACAAGATGAGCGACAGGGTCTCCTACGCCTATTTCAAAGTGTAAGTGTAAAACAATAAAGTTATACACAGATAATTATAAAAGTTTAATTTACATAATTTTTTTTACAGATAATGTATGCAGTTCACACAGAAGAGTATGAAGAAGCAAAGGCAACTTTTACTGAATCATGCTCTCATGAAAAATATAAGACCAGGGTTGATGGTTTCCTGGAGAGAGAACAAGAGTGGGCAAAAATTTTTCGCTCAGAGGGCACAACACTGACAACTTCTCAGAAGCATCTATAAGGGTCATTAAAGATATAGTACTTGGACGCACAAAGGCGTACAACTGCTGTGCCATGGTTGATTTTATTGGACATGTCTGGGAGAAGCATATCACAAAACGACTTATGCACTATTCATCTGATAGGGAGAACAGGCCGAGGCTGCAGTACAACCGACTCTGCCAAAAAATGCGACCAGGTATGCAACTGATAATAAACATGATAGGTGAGCATATTTTAAAAACAGAAGTAACTGAAAAATTAATTTTTAATCAACCATTACTAGACTGATAGAGGAGGACTTGTATGAGGTACCGAGCGACAAGACTGGAGAGCTAGCCTATGAAGTTAATTCCCTAATAGGGTGGTGTAGCTGCCCAGTCGGAAAATGTGGAGCGTTCTGCAAGCACCAGGCTCTTGTCTACTCCAGATTTGGCAAAGGCTTCCCAAATAAACCAGCCAT